GCACTAAAACACCAAGTATTCATAAAGCGAAAGCCAACGGAATCATGTAGCCTGTGGTGCAAACACCATACGTCAAGGCGAAAAACGACACGTTGCTACGTCATCACTGGTACTTTGGCATGGTGGAGGCTTGAGATTTGAACTACACAGGCCTTATGAGGTTCAGGCTTTCCTGTAAAGTGTGTATACTAGGCTATATCTTCGAATGGCGGCGTGCGCAGAAAATATGTGGGTGAGAGTTAATCTGCTGATTGTTTTTGTATTTGCTGTGTTAATAGGTTGAAACAAAAAATTACAGCGTAGTTTGAAGTCCCAAAGTCTTGAATTGTATTAATTCACAGTGCAGCATTTGAAGCATTAGACAAATACGACAAATGACATTAGACAAAAGGAAGAAATATCAGCACCACCAGTACCTTAGTGCAAATAAAACAGCGGACAAAGAGATATAGAAAAGGAATACAAGCACGAGTACGAAATATTACAGGAAAAAAAAAACGAGGTATGGGGTATGGGAAAGGAACTGTATACAAATTAATACTTATCTAGGAGGTAAGAGAAACAGAAACACAGAAAGCAGGAAATACCAAATAACATTAGAACAGCAAAAACCAAAAATAATATTACCACAATAACATCCCGGCAATGGAAACAACGCTCAGAGTTTAAAGAAGCAAAAGGAACACACTAACGTAAAAACCGCAGTATCACCACTAAAGGAAGACGTTCAAAAACAGTGTAGCTACTTGTTGGAAGAGCGCCGGGCACAATAGAAATAGGTATCTGGAGAATTTATAAAACCCCTAACAAAACTATTCCAAACATGCATAGATATACACGAACTGGAAGAGTGTAAAATAGGCTATTTAACAACGACATACAAGAAAGGAGAAAAAAACGGTTTACTGCATCTCATAGAGCCAACGAATGCTTGGGAGCACCGCTCCAGATGTGGGAACAGTATTTCATACATGGTCTGATTTGAGACTTATAACGGAGAAGAAGTTGTTCAGAAGTGGAAAAGCTTTTTGTACGCAACAACCTTATTTTTGAGAAGCGGTTTTGGCAATCCAAGATTCATGGCCATGTCAAGAGCAGTTGGTCGATGCGGTCACCCCAAAAAGAGATACTGAGGGATTGATGGAAAGGTTTTGTAACGTCCCGGCATCCTTAAAACTGGGTTATCATCGACGGAATATTTCTTATTTGGGAATACTAATGCTTGAGTTTTGGAAGCATTGAATTTGACTAGGTTGTCAAGGCCGCAGTTGGTAATGGTGTCAAGATCACTGTTGATAGAGTGAATCTGTTGTCGGGCGAGGCTTGTGGAAGTGGCTGCAGTAAGCGGTTTGTCAGAAGAGAAAGATGCCATCAACTATCATTCGCAAAGCTGCATATGGAGTTTCTCATCACATTTGACAAATTCTTTATATAAATGAGAAGCAGTGTTGGGGACAAAATTGAGCGTTGGGGAACGCCGGCATTCATAGGCAGTGTGCAAAAAACTCCCCAGCCAATGGCAAAATTCGTTCAGAAGACCATACGATGGAACTATGCTGAGGAGATCTTTGAGCCACACTTGATTAAAAGCCTTGGAGATGTCCAATGTTACAAATCTGGATTCGCCATGTTTTTCGAGAGTCGAGTTCCAAATATAACTGATGTACGCCAGCAGATCTCCTGATGATCTTTTAGAACCAAAACGGTACTGTTTGTCAGAGATGAGCTTATTGCCGTCGAGCTATTTAACCAGTTTCAGGTTTACTGCCTTTTCCATTACTTTCGAAAGTACGGATATCAGTGAGATGGGTGATATGGGTGAGATTTTTATTGCCCTTTTACGGAATGGGTTGCACTGTGGCACATTTCCAGATAGGGAAAACGTCTCGACTGTAAGAGAGTGAAAACAGTTTGCAGAGAACCGAGCAGAGAACTAAAGCCAATTCTTGTGTGCAAGTTTTGAGGACAATTAGTGGAATGCCGTCGAGACTACAAAGTTTCAGAAAAATTTTCCTCATAGATTTAGATCTAAATAAAACGTTGTCCTATGTAAGAATCAATGTGTGGCAGTGCCTGTGGCGCTCTGCCATTGTCCACTATCATGGAATTGGATGCAAATTGTTTGGCAAAGAGTTCTGCTTTTCCTTTTTGATGGAATTAGTGTCCTTAACTAAAGGTGGAAGATGTGAATTTTTTTCCTATTGCCTTGGCAAAAGACCAAAGGGATCTCGATCCGCTCCGGCAGTCCAAAAGTCGACTACGGACTTGTTGGTGTGTAACTACTTCGCCTCGTTGATAATACGGATGCAATAATTTCTGACAGCCGTAAAGCACGATCAAGTTTGTTCGGATTGGTTTCTACGCCAGGCAGGATATGCGGTGTTCTTTTTTGCAACCTCTCCGGCACACTGCTCGTTAAAGCAGGGTTATCTGGGGCCTTATTCTGTAATTATTTTTTATAGACCGAATCGCTCGGTTTGGTATACTATCGCACGACGCAGTAATCGAACATCCGGTTCGATAGCGTACATTGCAATTCTGTATGGCTTTTCGCCCATTCGGTTCGGTTTGATAGAAATCGAAGGGCAACCAGAAAAGTTACCGAACGCCATGCATTGTTGTCGGATTGCTATGCTCCCAAACAATGTGTATTCGTGCTTGACAATTGACAAAACTATAGTTGACAAGGGTATTTTTTTGACGATGGTTGACAGTTAAATGAAATTTTGTATGGTTTATGTTTAGTTTTCAAGACGAGTTTTCAATTTGGTTTTGCTTTTTGCCGGTTCCGCCAGTGATGCGATGCGACTACGCCAAGCGTCACGGCTATAGCCAAAGCTGAGAAAAGAGCGTGCTTCTCTTGGCCATACCTTACGTAACTTGAAAACGATTGTAGATATTGAATTGCTGTTTGCGGGAAAATGTAAATATTTTTTTGCTCTTTAAGCACAGCAATAAAAAAATAATATCCTGCCATTTGGATTTTTTATGAAAATTTGAAAAAACTGGATCTTGGATAAACAGCGCCCTCTAGAACACGCGGTGGGAACTAGCGACCCCGAACGAATTGGTGTTTTTAATAACAATGAAATTCTCTTCCAAATAAGCCCAAATTGAATGAGTTTGGTTGAGGGGTATGGAAGATACAATAAGTTCTAAAACTATTTTTTCACGAGCTTCCCCCACCCTTATTAGGGAATATACGAAAAAAGCCTAATAACCAAACTGGCGTAAAAATTAATGCACTTTTAATTTCTGGTGTTAAAACAGTACCTTAATATAGCGATTTCTTGAGAAAATTTGAATTTTTATCTATATCATCGTAATTGCGCCCCCTAGCGGTCATTTCAGAAACTTGAAAATAATTTCCATCAATTTCTCTTGGCCGATTTAGTGAAGAAAAAAAATCCAGAAGTTGTAAGGTCTATGGTTTCCATAATATCGTACCTGGCCGACCTTAGTGGGACACCCTGTACATACAGACGCATCTGCTGCTTCAATATTGACATTGCTGCGATAAGTGAGACAAGATTCCTGGATCAAAACACTGAAAACAGTCCTACTTCTACTCGAGGATTTTCACGGGTAAAGGAATCCCTGAGGAGCCTCATGTTAACCATGTCATTACTCGTCTTAACTGTTTTCTTCTGTGCCTTCGGATGTATTTATTGATCCGTAGTACTCCAATAATATCCAATTCACCTTTCACTTAAACACTAATTGACACTCATACGCCACAGAAAAATATGAAATATATATTTTAAAAAAAACTAATCAAACATCCAATAAAGCACGTGACACATAACGTCATTAACGTCGAAAACCTTCACCGAAATTCAAATCGAAACCAACAATGTTATCGGTCATCAAATCGAGGCTACAGAATAGCTTCCGCGCTACCAAACCGTAAATGACGTCACAATCGAAGAAATTCTACCGAATCGAAGGTTCGTTCTTCACAGAATAAGGCTCCTGGCACCGGGTTGTTTTATTGGAGTATGGAATATACAATTCCATACCCAAGGAAATTATTTCGGTAACCTCTTGTGCACTCTCGGAGGGATCTTTGGATTCAAAGCAACATCCGACCACAGGAAGGTCGGGAAAAAAAGTTTCAGGCCTTTTCAGTCTGCAGCTCCATGATTCCACACCCTACGAGTTATTGCAGCAGGAGCTGAGGATATAACCAACGAAATTCGAGCGGAAATCAATTTGTATTCTGATTTGCCATAAGGTGCAAACACATCGATCTTGTAAGGATCTGGATTAGTGGTAAGGAACAAATCGAGTAAGTTGATCTCTTGAGAAACGGGATTGGGAATACGTGTGGGCTCTTCTACCAATTGAGTTAGGTCATGTGATATGGTAAATGCTTCAGCAATTCTTCCAGCATGGATTGTTTTTTTCGAGAACTTAAGCCAATGACTGAAATGAACATTAAAATCTCCCAAGAGTATAATCTCGGAGTTCGGATAGGTCTCCCGGATAGAATCAAATGAATTTGCCAGATTTAAAAAAAAGCTCAAAACCGGAGTCATTGGGTGGTAGATAAACGCAGCAAACAAAGTTAGCATGTTCGTGGAAGTAATTTTTAGCCAGATTACATCGTGAACAGGTGATTCGAAATCATCCTCTCTGTGGAAAGAGAGCTAACTGCGAGAAACCTGTATCCAATACATCTATCTGTTTTTCTCACTCACTTTCAAATGCAACATAAACTCTGATACTGATATGAATACTCATCAGATCAAGTCTATCAAAAATATTTGTAAAACTGGTTCTTGGTAAGCCTATGTTTTTTTTGTCCATCTTAGGCAGTATTCTGTCAAGATCAGATTTTTATAATAGTGTCGAAATAAATGTATATCCAAAAATGAATAGGTACCCAAAAGCAACTGTCAATAATCAGCCATGACCAGTGTAAATATATCAATTTACAAGGTAAATACAAATAAAATTAAATACAACAATATTGTCATCTAGATTTTTGACGAACTTACCGACATCTCTCGCAGTATAACAGCCTGCGCTTCCTTTAGTGTTAAATGGCAAAGGTTCGGGGGCATGTTCTTCTATACAGTGCATAAACAGGCCCTGTCGCCATCCAGCGGCCATCAGCCAATCCGTCGATACCAGCCCCATAATCATTAAAAGAATAACGATTAGACCGCATATAAAAGCGATCACCTGAAACAAATAAAGACAAATTATTACAGCATTTCACAGAACAGTTATTACAATTTTTTTTCTTCAAATTATCGATCCTACATATAAGAAGAATATGATATGTATTTCACTTTTTGAGTTTAGACCGAAATAAAAAACTTGACTTTCTAAAAAGATCGTTGAGCTGTGATATTTGAGCAGTATTCCTGAAGATACTTCATTACTAAAGGAAGCAAGCAATACATAATTGTATTTCGTGACTCCTAAAATTGTACGTTTCGATAAATCTGCATCTTCTTGGAGACTTGCGGTCTAAATGTATCGACAAGGCAAGTTAAGCTTGGATAAAATTTCCGAATCTGTTCACTAGAGAGTTTTTAGCTCTTTCTATTTGTGGCCATGCGTGGTATTGCAGTGAGACAACACAACTATAACATCGACCAAAAGTTTTGCTGAAAACTGTCTAATAATAATGTTTGTTCCAACACGTCAAAAACTGTCCCATGAACGGTTTCAAATCCACTCTGATATATACGAATTCCACGCACAAATTTTGGGTTTTGCGCAGGGTCGGGACTGTCCATTGTAAGGTTTCGTGATGTGTTGGAACAAAGCTATACCTAGTGTTTTCCAGAAATACCCGGGAGCGAAGGGAGGATTAAAACCCTAAAAGTTCGACAACAACAATAGAGTTGAAATGTGGATAGTAACTGTCAAGATAGAACAAATTCCTATTTTTAATAAAGGTGGGTTTAGCCAACTCTTAATGCCTAATGCACAATTTTAATTCATAATGGATAATTTTTAAAACTTCACATTTAAATACACCTGTTTATACAACGCATAGTGGATAATGGATAATTTAATGTATATTGCGTAATTCACAAAGTTGACCAACTGTCAAAGCACAAAACGCTAGGGCGCAAGCGTACAATAATTGATCATTTATTATTTTAAACTTTGTTTTGGTTTCGCTTTATAACCTCAAAATCTTGTCGACTTTTTTCCTGTTGTTTTCGATGGTTTTTGATTTGAAATCGTATTTTTACGTTTTCAATAATACAAATGGGGTTTTTCCAAAGAGTATAAAGCCTAATTTACTATTTATTTCATTATTTAGTATTTTATGAAAAATAACAAGTGTCAAACTCAGCTGTCTTGTCAATTCTTAATGCCAAAAATTATGCGTTGTATAAACACCTCTTTTCTGTTATGCATTACGCGTTATGAATTACACATTATCAATTATGAATTAAAATTGTGCATTATTCATGAGTTGGCTAAACCCACCTCAATGTACAAAATGCATTCTGTAATATTATCTAGTAGAAAATCAATTAAGGTATATAAATACATAGTTGGATTAACCGCAGTTGAAAACCCGATAACATGAGTATATTTTGTTATCAATTAACAATACCAGGAAAATTTGGAAACAGGGACCAGAGCAAAAATATATACGTATTGCTACATTTATGCCCACACGCTTTGAAAGTGCACCGATGTATATTTTAGCAGAACTAATTGAATTTGTTATTTGGCCCTTTCGAGTTTAATGCTTTAAAATTTTGACTACACGTGAAAATAAATTACTGCAATTACGTTGTTCACGAAAACTATTTATTTGACTTTTGAATTCTTTACAAAACCAAGTTGAATAGAATATTGTCCATTAAATTGCTGAAGCAACACGAATTGCTGCAATCTTTCGGAATGGAAGTGGATATATTATCCAATATACGCAGAGAGAAAATTCTATATGCATTGAACTAAAAAGAAAATAGTTATTTTATGCTAACGCCCCATATGAACAAATTTTTATCAGTCTTAGGCAAAGGGAAAAACCTACTTTTCTAAATCGCTGCTGCATAGCGGCCAGCCTCAAAGTAACTTTATCACCCATGACAGATTATTAGATCACGCACGTGAGTACCACAACAACAAACTACTTGGGAACCCGTCACCTTTAATCAACGTACCGTACGGATGCATACTGATTTTGAAAAGCAAAAGCGAGTAATAATAATCAGTCAGTCGTGCACCCGATGAACAATAATGATTCAGATACAGGGAATTTCGAACAGTAAGCACCAACTACGGGGAATTCGGTGGCTTATCGTTTGTCTTTCCTAATACAATAGCGGACGATTTAATTTGACGCCTAATATGCTTAATGGATTTAGTCTTCAATTTATTAACGCAAATTAACTGGATTAATGTAAGAATTATTAGATCCCCAAACGTCGCATAATATCGTCTGAAATGTGGCTTCTTAATCACATTATCTTCAGTTTACTCCAGACATATTCATACCGTTGAAATTTATTTGAGATATAGGTATTTAAAATGTACCGACGGCAAAGTTATAAGTAGAGAAATAACGCCTGCAGGGATTGAAATGACATAGATTGGCTTTAATAAACTCTTTTTAATGGAATAATCTAGCGGCATTTATCAGAGATTTCGAGAAGAGAATGGGGATATTTTTTTAAATTTATTTTTCTAATTCTAGAACACAAACTAAGTATATTAACACTATTTTGGGGAACAATTGAGTTGCCGTTAATTTTTAATAAAAAATATAAATTCAGCAGCATTTCAAACGCCGCAGAGAACCCGCCAAATATGACGTCAGTCCCTACAACTGGCAAAAATATACTGCAAATAAGTACGTTGTCAGATTGTCGTTGTCTTTGTTGATTTCCAAGATTGCCTCTAGAAACCTCGTTTTTATCCTTGCATTATATAGTTTTTTGTTGTATATTTTGGACTACAGTTATAAAATTAATGTAATTTTTTAATTGTTAGTAGGTTTAGTTGTAGTTGAAAAAGGATCTGTCACGTTATTTTAGTATTAGGGAACAACGACATTCAGTTTGGCAACGTTGCACTGTCTAACGTCAAATACGTTATGTTGACCAGCGTTAAACGAACAAGATGCAAATAACGAATGAGGAGTTTCATCATTGTCACTCTTTAGAACTTAGACAAGGAAAGCATATAAGATGTGCGCCAGAGCCATTGTGAACGATTCTTATTGGTCGGAATGTATATATGCGTCATAAAATGGCGCCATTCCAGTAGGTTGGGATGAAAACAGCATTTTTGAAAATTATTTTCAAAAAAAATAGGACATTTTAAATCCAACTGGAAGCAAGGGTATTTTTATTTTGGTTGATACAACTGATTAAAAATAATAAAACAATGAAATTCAAATATGGTGAACGTCCTCATTGTCTAGACAATTACAGAAGCATGAAAGACAAGTTAGTCATGAATTGCAGAAGTTGTGAATTGGACACTGAGGGTTTATCCATCTGCGGATAGACTTGCTGATAACTGAGCTGATGAACCATCCAACTAATGGAAATAAAACGGGAAAAGAGAAAAAATATTAGTCGCATCGATGAAGGCACAAATTTACCGTTCCATAATTCTATCCAATGGGATTACAGATTACGTCTTTATCCGTCAGATTGCATACCTGACAGTTTATCAGAAGGTGAATAAACCGACCCTAAGTTATATTGATATAGTTTTTTATGGACTCAAACTATAAATTCAAGTCATTCGAAGTTTTGCAGAAGTGCTAACTTTACAGTGTGTAGTGTTATTGGCTTGAATAAATAATTATTTATGTCATTGGGCAAAGAGTCATAATGTACTGAGCTCAAAGTTTTAATTGAGCGACGCACAAAAAGAACTTCTGAGCTTAATGGGATGAAACATTAACTTCAGGAGACTGCATTGTTTCCTTTCACAACTTAATCGCTGCTTTTTTTATCCCTGTTCGAAAAAAAAAGGATGCCACTAATTTACGACGTATGTCAAGTTTGTTTATTTCAAATGTCAAATCAATAGTACGTCGCTAGAAACATGGACGCTCGTGTGAACGGGCACACAAATCAACATGATTATCTGTATTTATTTATCTCTTACCTTATTTGTGTAACAATTTAATGTTTTATGTTGAACATTAAAAGTAAAACGAAAAAATTATTGCAAATTAGGAGTAAAGTATTCTATTGGAGCCGAGGGGTAAACCACTAGTGGAAATCATTGTACATTTTTCTGGGAATCACATAGTAATCAATCAGGAATACATGGAAATCACTTGGGAGTCCCTGAGAATAACCTAGGAATCGCTAGGAAACTCATAGAACTCCATGGGAATCACATAGGAATCCATTGACAATCGTTGAGAATCATGTGGTAATCGCTGGCAATATCATCTCATTCTAACCCAGAAATCGCTTATCATACCTCTTAAACGATACAGCGTTTTTGATTGTTGCAAATCGTCAACAACCAGTTTTCTGACTATTTTCAACCAATGAAATTCGCTCTGACTGGTTTGTGATTTCTGTGAGAACAGACCTAAAGTATGACAATAATGTGGATTATAAAAATGAAAACATGAATCTTGAAACATCTCTCCAATCCGATTTGCCAAAAGAAGACACAGAATTTCTTCACACATCAGGGTTTAGTAATTGCGATTCGCTACAATTAGGAGGGCTCAACTTTTATTTGGTTCTTTTTAGAGAAGCAGGGAAGTTTGTCGATAGAGTAATAAAAGCTATGGAAATGTCCCTGAGGAAGACACAAAATAAAAAGTCGGGAATCCAAGGTAATAAGAACTTGAAAAGGGAAAGTAGAATAAATACTAAGCAGAGTGAAACCCTAACTGAAGATGTATCTCAATCAGATGAACATCCTAGTGGAATCAAATAAATATCCATTATTTTAGATCCATATTATGCAGTGTAGACACGCAATGGTATCTAGGGCTCAACAACTATATATACGTACAACAAAATCGGTGTGGGTGTGGACAACCATGAAAATAAAAGTAGCTAACTTTTGGAAGAGTTGAAAATACAGGAGTCAACAATTTTTCAGTGGAAACGTGTTTTTATAAGAGAAAAGACTTTATTTTGATCACATCAATGTGAAAATTGACAATTAGACATCGTTTTCGTAATAAAATCAGCTGGAAATCGGATGATTGTAGTAAATCATTGAGGAAATCAGGTAATCAATTGAGAATGACATAGGAATCCCCAGAAAATATGGAAATCACCTGGTAATCATAAAAAAATATATGAAAATAATTGGCAATCAGTCGCAATTCTTGGGATGGGAATACATGGGATTCATTGATCAGTGATTGCCAAATATGGAAATCATTGTACATTTGTAGTTGACCCCTCGATTGGAGCTGATTTATAAACTAGGCCATTGACGCAACTGCCATCTAGCGAGAAGTAACGCGCAAATTACATCAACATAATTGGATCCATTTGGGTTTTTTTTTAGGAAAAAAAAACGACAAATACAACTTGATAATGTCTTCCAGTTAATCGACGCAAAACGCATGAAAATCACGAGCAAATAAATCATTTTAGGAGTATCATCAAATTCACATGGATATACCTATTATTCGCTTTGTTACAAACATGTTTCCAGTTATAAAAAATATGTTTTGTTTTTGGAAATTTAAAGGCAAAATGGAACACAAACATTGGTATCTTTCATTTATTGAACGTCACGTTTTCACCGCAGCCTTTTATAAACAAGGGAAAAAATCATGAAAAAATATAAAAACAATTTTATTTCGCAGGAAAAATAGGTGCTACATAGCAATTGAAATTGTAAAATATTTGTCCACACCATTTCATGCTGGATTTTCAAACATTTAAAAAAAAAGCAAATAGAATCTATAGCTGTCGTGGAATTTTTCAGTATTCACAGAGCAGAATTCATTCCTCATTAATGGGTCCAGCATCGAAGCTATTCCGAAAAAAAAGCCTCTAAATGCGACGATCACGAGCCTGTTTCATAGTAGGGATTTTAAAATATTTGTGAAAATTAGTCACTCCATCCTGTACGATAAGCGAGAGAGAGTAAACTACTAGAAATTCAATTGAGGATACTCAATTTTGTATTATTTTGAAGCAACATACGTGCAACTAAAAAAATTCAGTCTTTGCTGTTGTTTGTAAGAACGTTTGTTACTGATATTTTTGTTTGTGAAAAGTGTGAAAACCAATTTATTTATATATTCAAAATCAAAACAACTTGACAGTGTGATGGAATATAAAACCAAAGAGATTTCTCCAGAAAACACGGAATATCGGCCAGATGACAATGGAGAGAACCTGAATTCTCAATCAAAGGATGATGCGCTAATTACATACCGGTTTCGAGCTTATTAGCTCTCGTCAGTGCAGTTAAGCGCAAGCATACCTACAAAATCATAGACACAGGTTTACAAAAAATTTCAACGATAAGATAGGTATCCATAATGTTTTGACGTTTTTAGAAAGCGGTAGTTTGGCAACGATGTATAGTAGCGCCACGAATCTGTATTTGATAGGTCGAGGAAGATTGCGGATGGTAAGGATGGAGAATTCGTGGAGTTTCATGTTAATACCTGGTTTCAACAAGATGAGGCCACTGCCAGAAGATCTTTTGCAACGCTACAAGATATTTTCCCTGAAAACAAATTTCAAAGTGAGCGTTCCTACGCTGACCTGACTCCCCTGGACTTTTTTTTTGTGGCTATCTAAAGTCCAAGTTGTACGAGACAGCAACACGACATCTGAGGGCTTTGAAATTGAGAATTTAGGCTGAAATATCTCCAGATCAAATGATACGAGCTGTTTTTGACAATTTAAGGTCTAGACTTCAAAAATGCGTGGCACAGGAAGGAAGACATCTTTGAGAGCATTATTTTGAAGGAAACAAAATCCGCGTTCGTTGTTAACATTTTCATAATAAATTAAATATTTTTTTGGGCAAAAATATTTATTTTATTTCAGGTTAAAAACATCGAAACATTATGAGACACCCAGTATAAACCTTTTTTAGCGTGTGGCTCCATTTCTTCGAAATCTCACAATTTTGAAGAGGTTTATGCGTATCTTATCGTTGGAATCACCTGTAAAC